TAGCCAACCGCAGCCCTGCGCGCGGCGGCACGGCCCCGCCCCCCGCTGTCCCTGCGCTCATTGGCCGGTGGCGCGTCCGTCTCCGGCTCCCGCCCGCCTACTGTCCCCCGGCGGGAGGGAGTGCGCATGCTCCGCCGCGACTCTGTCACGCCCCGCTGTCCCTTGACCTCCGTACCTTACTGTTGGCGCGAGAGCCGGGACCTGGGCACCACAGACCCGTGTGGGCGCGGCCGCCTACTACGCAGGCGCCGCCGCGGGCCCTCTTTTCTCTGCGCACTGCTCGCGCACTGGTCGCGCGGAGGCATTGCACTTGGGTGCCTGTCTCGCTCAGCTCCGTGTTCCCGGCCCGATCTGAGCACACACAGCTCCAGACTCGCCCCCTCACACACCGGGGACGTCACAGGGACGAGTCTAGACACACACGAGGGCACGGTCATGCCCTACATCTCTCACACATAAGCACACACGCTGAACACCCATCACACTGAACACCCCCACAGGTCCTGATGGCAGACCCTCGGCGCATAGGTACAGTGCAGAGCAGATACAGGCACACACACGTGCAGACACACACAGAGACACACATGCAGACACAGGCTCGCAGACACTCACAGGGTCACAGACAGACACACTCAGACACATGCGCACACAGAAAAGAAGCACACGTTCATTCTACCAACATACAATGGGACTCAAGATGAAAAGGTGGCTGCGTTCTGGATCTTAGAATCTGGAAAGGCAAATAATATGCAAACCCAAAATAAAACCGAACCCACTGCCGTCGAGTCTATTCCGGCTCATAGTGATCCTACAGGACGGAGTAGAACTACCGCATAGGGATTCCAAGGAGCAGCTGGTGGGTTAGGATGCCAACCTTTTGGTTAGCAGCCGAGCTCTTAACCACTGCGCCACCAGGACTCCAAATAATATGCAAGTAACCAATTAATAAAACAAATGACAGCTTGCACCAAGTCCTGTGAAGGGGTGCAGTGGGGGATGGGCAGACTTCTCCAGAGAAGCCCAGAGGAGGTGCCCTCGGGGCTGCTAAAGGAAGGTGGGAAGAAGGGTTGTGGGCAGACGCACCAGTCCCCGCAAAGGCCCCGAGGCTGGAGGTGCCTGAATGTGTTCACAGACCAAAAAAGAAAGGCAGAAATGAGTGGCATTCTGGAGGCTTTGCAGCAAGAGCCATTTGAGAAGACGGAAGTGGTCAGCTGCACTCCATTCACGGCCTGCCAAGTGTCTCTGCAGCTGGAAATCAAGTCGTCTTGCCGTGGGTGGGGTCCGTGGCCAGCAGTGGGCACCGTGCAGCGTACACCAGTCAGGATGGCAGTTGAAAGAACAGTGCAGGGGAGGATGTTCTTTTTCCATGGGGGACAGCCTTGAGCCTGTTTCTGTTGTTCAGATGGAGCCAACAGAGAAAGTGGGGTGCTTGGCAGACGGGAGCCTGGCCCAGGAACAGCTCCAGGAAGAGGAGCTGGCAGAGCCAGGTGGGAGGGGTTAACTAGAGGAAGTTGCCATGAGGGAAGCAAGAGGCCTTTTCCCAGCCTGCCCCTAGACGACCCACTCACCCGCCCAAAACCCTGCACTGGTCCCCACGTCCTCTTCCAATGCACCACGCCTCCCCACAGGGCTTGCAGAGCCGCCCCGGCCCTGCCACCTCCCGGCCCCAGCTGGACCTCCAGCCCCAGAAGCCATCTTCCACTGCTTGAGCACATGCTGGGCCCTGCACCTGTTGCCATTTTACCTTTATTACATGATTAACGCCCCTCTCCCTTACTCAGGATAACCTCTGTGAGGGCAAGGCCCAAGGCCCACGTCTGCTTTTTGTGCCCAAGTGCCCAGCATAGAGCCCGGGGGACAGGTACTCTGCATCTCGGAGGATGGGTGGATGAACTAGGGTGAAGACAAAAAGGGTAATAACAACTTTCAGAGGGAGGGAGGACAAGAGCTGATGACTATTCTGGGTCCTGCCTGCTGCCTCTCAGCTCGACATTGACTGTCGTCCAGCTGGCTGCCGGCACTGGTGGGAGCCAGGAAGGTGAAAGGAGGGGGCGTGGCTGGTGAATACAGGCCCCCAGGCTCAACGGCAGCCCCCAGTGGCACCACCACCCCTGGCTGGAGTCGAGTTCCCTTTTGCTGCCCCAGTTCCGGAGATGGCAGTGTCTTAGACTAACCTCAGCTTGTCCTTCATGCTTCTCCAGCCCTCCTAACACAGGAGTAACCGATCCCCGTATTACATTCCCTGTGCTTGAAATACCTGGAATGAGGTCTTTACTCTAACACAGGAGTAACCAATCCCCGTATCAAATCCCCTCTGCTTGAAATACCTGGAGTGGGTTCTTCTTCCTAACTTCTAGGTCAGCTTCCTTTCTATATTCCAGGCAATTCGCTAGACAAGTGCTATAGGTGAGATCAAGGAGCTAAGCTGAGCTGCCAGGTGTCGGAGTAGCTAATCAAGACAAGGCGCCCAAATGGAAGCAACAGCCAGGCCTTTAATAACTTACTATGAAAGTAGAAACAAGAGGGAAACCCAGAGAAAAGCATCAGTCAAGTCCCCGCCTCCAGGCATCTTCCTGCCCTGGGAGCTTTCAACAAAAGACTCCCGCAGGGTGGGGGTGGAGGGTTAGGCATGGAAGAGTACTGAGTACTGAGTAGAGTGGGCAAAAGTGTTTTCAAGGTTCCCTACTCCCCTGTACAGGAGTTTCAATAGAGGCGCCTGAGGAAGGCCTCTGCTGAAGCCGAAGACCCCGAATGAAGAGGCCTCCGGATGGAGGAGCCTGGGCTGGGAAAGCAGATATGGAAAAGAGCATGTGGTGGCCAGCAGGGGCCCCGAATCCTTGGCTGCAGCTCCCTCCAGAGATGCAGTGCACTGGCTACCCACCAAGTCTGCTTGGGGAGGGCAGCGTCCCCCTGAGGCCTGCCAGGCACAGCCTTGTAATTCCTGTGGTCACACCAGAAAGGTCACACGTAGGGTTTTGGCCACGAGCCACACTCCTCGGATGAGCGAGGGAATATCAAACACAAGCCCTGCTCTCAAGAAGCTGATGGTCCACCAGTTCAAGCCCATCGCTGCTGTGGCCTGTGCTGCAGAGGGTATGGCCACATCCATCCTGACTGCAGGGCAGGACAGGTCAGTCCCACAGGCACTCACAGAAGATCCTCCCAAGGGCCAGGCTCTCGTGGGACACCCCAGAAAGCCACACCCACCAGGTGGCTCCCGCCTTCCAGGCCCATGGCCACTGCCTTCTGGCTCAGAGCAGAGAATGGGCATCTCAAGTGGTGTTTGGATTTGAGATCTTGGACAGAAGCTGCGTGGCACAAGTGGGTCCACTGGGTGTGTTCCACCGACAGGAAGCTGCGCTGCTGTGGGGGCAGCTGTAGGTAACTCAGCAGCTCAGAAGGGTGCCTGCACACAGCAGGTGCTCTGTTAATGCTGCTGCTGCTCCTGGTGGTAACACTGCTCACAGAGGACTCTGGCGGCCAGAAGAAGGAGTGGTGTTGGCACCTCTCACCCGGGACTGGGGTGTTTGAGGTGAGCCCAGGCCTGAGGCTCTTGCTTGCCATGGGGTATGTGATCAAGTCCACAGAGAGCTTGGAGCTGCCAGCCTGGTAGGGAAGGCTTCCTGTGGCAGGGCCTTGACCTGGACCAGAAGCTTCCAGGCCCCAGCAGAGGAAGAACCAGAAGCCCCCCTCCTCGTGCCCTCTCCTGGCTCAGTCTCCATTACAGTCCCCCTACCCCAACCCCGCTGCTGCCCTAGCACCCTCTTAGAGGAGGGAGGGGGTGTGCTTAAAAGGGTTGCTGGGGCAAGTTGTCTCCTCTTTGTTTGAGTCGTGAAGTTTAAGGAAAAAGCCTTACTCTCCTTCCTCCCCTCCTGCCCCTACCCGGGTTCTTTGAAGGTCTTTTGTGGCCAGCCACTGAGGCTGCACTGGGGTCCTCCCCTTGAAGTGCGTTCTCACCCCACAGAGGGCAGGCTGTCCAGCGTGATGTGCTCAGGGCAGCAGGTCATGGGGCAGGAGAAACGCCTCTGAGGACACAATGCAGGAACAACTCTAGAACTCCCCCTTCTAGAACCTGCCCCAGCTTTCCCAGAGCCACCCTCCCCCCTGCCGGCCCACACTTTGTTAAACCTCCTGCCCTGAGCCCTCATCCCTGGCCAGTCCCTGCCCAGCCCCAGAGTCTCCAGAGCCTTGGCTGCTGCCTCGAAAAGGGCACAAGCCCCACCCGGCCCCTGCTGCCTGCTGCCCCTCTGGCACACGTGAGGCCTCAGCCATGCCTCTGCCAGCCCCTGCCATGGCCCTGTGGTGAGCTGGGCCTCCACGCCCCCATGAAGGGCAGCAGCAGGGCCAGGCTGGACCAGCCGGCCTTCATGGAGCAGGTGCGGGAGTGCCGGGACAAGGGCTACCTGCTCTCCTGCAAGAAGATTGGCTCGGGTGCCTTCTCCAAGGTCTACCTGGCCTATGCCACACACGAGCGGATACAGCACAACCCCAGGCTGTCCTCCGACCTGCGGGGCAAACACCACACCATGGTGAGGCCGCCCAACCCCCTGTGGGCTCCGCAGGGCAGGGACAGCAGCCAGCTCAGGCCCAGCCTGGCCCAGGCCACGGTTCCCAAACCCGCTCAGGCACCTCTAGTCTCCCACATCCTCCCCTACTCCCTCCCCAGTCCTGCTTCCTCCCTGACACGGGACCCTCCCCCTGCAGGTGGCCATCAAGATTGTCTCCACAGCGGAGGCCCCCATGGAGCTCTCCTGCAAGTTCCTGCCCCGTGAGATCTCATCCCTCAACGCTACCTACAAGCACCTGAACGTGGTGGGCAGATGCCCCAAGACAGCCCACACCCCCAACCACCCCACGCCTGCTGCCCACCCTAGGCCTGGCCCTCTTCTCCCCCACCCAGAACCTCTGTTGGGCCCTTTGGCCAGGGCCTGATCCTGTCCTGAGGTAACGGAAGCGGGCGGGGGTCTGGCAGGTACAGCTATACGAGACATACCGGAACGGCAAGCGCTCCTACCTGGTGCTGGAGCTGGCGGCCCGTGGGGACCTGCTGGAGCACATCAACACTGTGTCAGACCTCCGCGGCTACCCGGGGCTGGAGGAGGACGAGGCCCGCAGGCTGTTCCGGCAGCTGGTCAGCGCCGTGGCACACTGCCACAGCGCAGGCGTTGTGCACCGGTGAGGGCACTGCCCGACCTGCCCGCCCGCCCGCCCACATGGCGAGGCCGCAAAGCACCAGGCCCAGCCCCACCTCCCCTTCCATGCAGGGACCTAAAGTGTGAGAACATCCTGCTGGATGACCGAGGCCTCCTAAAACTGACTGGTGAGCGGGCGCCCTCAGCCCCCACCTGGCACCCACCCTTTACGCAAACTTCAAGTTCTGCAGGAGGACCGTACCCCACTGTCACCCTACCGGGCCCCAACCTCAGCCAGACTTTTGTCCCCATCCTGATCCTGGTCATCAACTCTCCCAGGAGGCCTACTCCCCACCCTCAACTACAGCCCAGCCTTACTTGCCAGCCCCACCTTCTCCCCCGACTAGCTCCCCCTTGCCCCAGCCACCCTCTTGCTGACACCCAGACACTCCTCCACATGCTACCACATGGCCCTGCCGTCCTTCTGAACCACTCTCCCTACACAGTGCTCCTCCTTTCCCCTCCTCTCACACCCTCCTCCCCAGACTTTGGCTTTGCCAACTGCACGGGGTTCAAGAACACACTGCTAAGCACCTTCTGTGGCTCAGTGGCCTACACGGCCCCAGAGATCCTCATGAGGAAGAAGTACAGCGGGGAACAAGCGGACCTGTGGAGCCTGTGAGTGCCACCCCAGAGCACCCGAATGGCCAGACCCTGGGAGGGGGGTGGGGCACGCCCTGAGGAGCCCGTGCCCCTAGAGGTGTCATCCTCTATGCCATGGTGACGGGGAAGCTGCCCTTCAAAGAGCGCCAGCCCCACCGCATGCTGCACCTGGCACGCCGAGGCCCCACCTTCCAACCCGGCCTGTCCCCAGGTGAGACCACCACCTGTGCCCCACCCAGAACCCAGCTCAGACCTGGGGGGTGAGCAGCAGGAGGGGCCTGGGCCGAGGAAGGGTCACCTTGCTGGGTGGGGTGGAGGGGAGTGGACTTGGCACCCCCTGCATAGCAGCTGCAGATGGGGAAGGTGGGCTGGGGAAGGAGGACCTGATTACTCTTAGCCCCACTTAGCTCAAACCCAAGCTCCGCCACGAGCCTAGCAGGACAGTCAACTGCCGCTGTGTGCCTCAGTTTCCCCACCGGGGCTGGAGGGGGTGGCCTGCAGGCTGTTCTGCCAGCTGGGATGACCCCTCAAAGCTGCCCGCACTATTGGCGGCGACAGACATGTGCGGACGTGGCAGCGAGGCGCAGCCGTGACCCTTGCCCACAGAGTGCCAGGACCTAATCCGCGGCCTGCTCCAGCTACGCCCGCACACACGCCTCGACCTGCAGCAGGTGGCGGCGCACCGCTGGATGCTGCCCGCCACGCACGCTCTCTTTCGCAACGTGCTGGGCACCGTGCCAGGTGCTGGCCAGGCCACGGGGACCCGATGGGTGGGCGAGCCCCCTGCGCCCCTCCTGACCCCGCAGCCGCGCATTGCAGAGAAACGGATGAAATGCAAGTTCCCAGCGGCCGCAGACGACGCAGAGCCCTGCACGGATTCGGAGCCCCCAGGGCCGCTCCTGCAGCAGCGGCGCCCCCAGCGGCCCGGCGCCCCCCACGAGTGCACCCCCAACCCGGCGCCTGTCTTCCGGGTGCCCAGGCTGCCCGAGGCCCACCTGAGACGAGGGGCGGCTTCCGCCGGGCTGGGGCTCCGGAGCTCGGGGGCGGTCAGTGCTTCCAGGCAGCTGCTCTCGCTGTGCTCTGTGTCTGCCGTCCCGGAAGGACCGAGGAATCACCCCGTCAACTGAGAAGCGGGGAGGGGCCGGCGCGGGGCGAGATAAAGTATTTATTCTGTCAAGAGCCCAGGGTATGGACGCCTCAGTGGGAGCGGCTTTGGGGCGTCACCGGAACCCTCCGCCGCCCCATAGAGGAAAACAGACCACCACGCGGGCCTAGAGCGCCAGAGCTTTAATGTGGGGGCTGAACTAAGGGAGTATGGAGGGAGCTGTCTGGCGCCCAGTTCTCCCGGCCAGCTTTGAGACTAAGGACTCGCAGTGGGGGCGTCGGGAAGGTCCCAGTAATGGGAAGCGGGGAAGACAAGCTACACTCTGGTACCAGCCTATGGGGTGCCCGAGGAGCCCGTTGGTGGGGAAGGGATAGCACTTAGGGGTCATGTGTCGGTGGCACTGAGTTGTGGCTCAGGAAGGCAGCAGAGTGGGGGAAGGGCCACTATAGCAGCCTGGGGCCTCAACGGCTGCAGAATTGGGGGATTCGAATGGAACCAAGGGCTCCACCGGAGCCCATGGTGGGATCCAAGGGAACAGAGGGTGGTTGGGGACAGGCTGGGGCAGGGGGAAAGACCACAGGCACATCAGAGAGGCTCAGCTGAGGCAGGCAGGGGGCTCTGGGGAGAGGGTCTGGAATGTCTTGAGCAGCTGAGGTTCAGGGAAGCTGACCAGGGAGAGGACCGAGAAGAGAGGAGAGAGAGGGGGCCAGTCCGTCAGCCTTAGACACAGGAGGACTTGGGAGCCGGCAGGGGCTGAGGGCAGGGCCCTGGGCACAGGTCCACCAGGGAGCTGGTGGTCACAAAGGGACGCAGCACCAGTGAGCACTGCAGGGACAGGCCACTGGGGAGCCAGTGCAGGCGTGGAAGGGCACGCAGCCCCAGGCAGACTCAGGACAGGATCCAGGTGGGGCTGGCACAGCAGGAAAGTCACTAGAGGTCCACCCTGAGGATGGGTATCAGGCAGGCAGAGCCTGGGGGGCCCAGGATGGACTCGGGGTGGGGCTGACAGGATGGGGTACTGCTTGTACCCAGGCCCCTGCAGTGCCCTCAACATGGGGAGGCTCCAACTGTCCTCCCCAGGGCCTGCATATTTTTCTGTCCGGGCCTCCACTGACCGTCCCCTCACTACCCCACTCCACGTGGAAGCAGCTGAGAGCCTGGTGCTCCTCTGAGACCATACCTTCTGCTGGTGGCCACAGGGCACAGAACTGGAAGGTACCCTCAGTCCCCCCAGTGTTTACTGGACACTCGCCATAGAGCCAGGAGGCTGGAGTCCTCAGCTCAGACCTGGAGCCTAAATGTAGCTCCGCCTCTGAGCAGGACATAGTCTTCGTTCCAGGGGTCCGGAGAGGCCTGTGGGGAGGCGAAGGTGGGCCTGGAGGGGGTGGCGGCTGCAGAGGCCTCAGGGCGCTGCAGGCTCCTCTCGCTGGGGCTCTGGTGCCAGCTGTTGCGCCTGCCGCTCCTGCTCACACTGCTCCTGCTCCTGACGGTCCAGCTGCTGCAGCTGCCGCTCCACGTCCCCCGGCACCTGCACCTCCAGCAGGTTTTCCATGCCATGCTCCGGCTCATCCCCAATAAGCACCTGCCGGAGAGGAAGCAGATGAGCAGCTGGCTGGTGTGGGCACCGCCTCCCGCCCAGCGCCGCACCCACCTGGATGAGCTTCTCACAGGCCACCCGAACAGTGGGCTCTGCCTCCCAGCTGTGCAGCTCTCGAAGGACCAGGTAGGCTCCCTGGTCCCGCACCTGCCGCCGACCTGGTGCCGTGGCTGTCAGCTAGGAAGGAGTGTGAGTCACCCAGAGGTGAGAGTGAGCACGTGGGTGAGGGGTGGCATTATCGTCGCAGGACCCCCGCTCACCAACATGATGGCTTCAATGAGCATCTTGCGGATGTCAGCATCGGGCTCTCGCTCCTTGTCTGGAGGCAGGTACTGCAGGTCGACAGGCAGCCCTAGGGGCAGGTGTGAGAGGCACTGGTTCCTGGGCTGGGCCCTGCCTTGTATACCCAGTTGTGCTCAGCAGAAGTCACTGCTAGGAGTCATTAGGACCCCGGGTCTGGCCACACCCCTCTGCTGAGCCCACCCTGAGGCTCCACCCAAGCCACTCACGCTCCATCTCCTCCTCGGAGAAGTCCTCTGGCCCGGCCAGGGGCAGTAGCAAGAACGGGAGAATGTCCACCTCGGAACCGAGCAACCACTCGTGGTGTCCTGGGGGAAAAGCAGGGATGGGCGGTGTCTAGAGCAGCGGCAGAGGCCAGCCCCAACCCCCGGCAACGCCCCCAGCACCACTCACGGTGCTCGAAGCAGCAGTTCCGCAGCGTCCCCACCACTCCGCCCCTGCGCACGGAGGAGTCTGGGTACTGGGTAAGAGGCAGCAGCCGCTGGACCACGCACCTGGAGAGAGGCCGCTCAGTTCCGGCCGGCTTACTTCCAGCCCCCCACCCGTCGGCCGTCCAGAGCTTCACCTGTCTGGGTCCAGTAAGAAGGCACGCGCCGCTGGCCGCTGGCTGAGGTTGGAGAGCAGCGGCCCCAGGTAATGCAGGGGCGCACAGGCGTTGTAGCCGGGCGTGCACAGCGCGCGCACCAGGCGCTCCAGGACTGACTCCCTCGGCTCCGCGGCCGCGAGCACCGCCATCACAGCGGCACAAGACGCCGGCTCGCGGCTGAGGTTGGCTAGCGCGGCGGCCGCCTCGTCCGCCCAGGGCCACTGTGGATCCAACGCGCGGCCCAGCAGGCGGGCAGGCAGGCCGGGATCGACCGCCAACAGCGGTTCGTGCAGGCCCCGGTCGGCCGCCAGGTTTACCAGCGCGCGGGCGGCATCGCAGGCTGGGGCCGGGATCGGAGCTGCCGCCAGTTCGGCCAGCGCCCGCAGCAGCGCCGCCTGCCCTGCTAGCAGCGCTCGGCCTGGCCCGGAGCCGGTCAGCGCCAGCACATGCCGCGCCGCCTCCGCCTGCAGGTCTGCCCGCGCCCCCGGCGTCAAGAAGGGTAGCAGTTCCGCCGCCTCCGCCTCGGCGCCGGCCTCCAGGATGGGCGAGCCTGTGGGCGCGCTGCCGTCCTCCGCTCCTCCCGGCGCGCTAGTGCCCGCCATCTCCTCCTCCATGCCACTGGCCCTGGGCAAACCTGCTTGCCGCCCGCGGGTCAGCGCCAAGTGCCGCCACGTGGGCCTCGGCCCCGCCCACCAAGGACGCGGACTGCCGCAGTGGCCAATCCGAGACCGCGGGCTCTGCGCACGGGGCGGGGCGACGCCGAGGCCCGGAGGATTGTGGGAGTCGGCTCTCTGCCGGAAGTCGCAGGGTTCCGAAGATCGGTAAGGAGGTCCGTACTGTCCGAGGACCGCCCCCTCCCCAGATTCCCGGCCCACCGTTACTGCATTCTCCATATCACCCCGGGGACGTACTGGTGTTATGCAGATCCAACTCCATGGTCCTAATTTAGAAGGTCCAGAACCTCCCCTGCACGCCTTCCTTGGCCTGCACATCAGGCCCGCGTGGTTTGGCCCGGGCACGTCTCCATACGCGCCAGGGGAGGCTCAGTGCCCGCCCAGCCCAGGTCACAATGTGTTTCCTCCGCTTAGCTGACCCGTGGTTGACTGGTCAGTGGCCTCTGAGGTGCTTGAGAGTCTTAGGGTCTGCACTCCAGTTCCTTACCCAGACCTGACACACGGAGGCAGCGCACATCTGGTCAGTGGATGACTGAATTAGGGTTTGGCCCGCGGGTCCTCCTGGAGAGAAGGCCCTGTGCCTGTCTTCTGAGCCGTGGCAGCACCAGGACTTTGGTGCCAAGCCACTAGGGAACTGGGCAGCACCGGACGCAGAGTGAGGACTGAGGAGGCAGCTTTGAGTAGGCTTCTGGACATCTACGAGGAGGTTGTTTTAGGGCATTTGTCAGGACTTCTTCAGTTGCGAGTGACAAAAACCCCACTCAAAGTGGCTTGCACAGAAAGGAAAATCAGTAATGCACCCATATAACCAGGAGGTCCACAGGGGTATCCGGCTTCAGGCATTGCTGGATCCAGGAGCTCTGTCAAGCTCTAGGCTGTCTACCCTACAGCTCTCTCCCCTTCTTTCACCCCAGCTTCTCAGTAGTTCCATAGCACTTTTCCCCTGCTGCTGGTGGATTTTCTCAGCACAGCTGGACCTTCCTTGCAGAAGATGGTTACTGTCCCCCCAACATCTGGAGATCTGCCCTAAGGAGGGACTCCCCTCAGTTCTTCTTGTCCTTCACTGGGTCAGCCACTGTAGGTGGAGCAACCACATTCTAGAAACACCTGGACTCGGGAAGGGGAGAGGGAGGGCAAAGGAAGGCATTCATTCACTCCCTCAACAAACTTTTTTTTGGCACCTGCCAGATGCTGGGCTTGTAGCTCAGGACACAGAGGGCAAGACAGAAGAGATCTCTGCATCTTCCCAGATCATACCAAGTTCTTTCCCGCCTCAGAACTTTTGCATTTGCTGTCTGCTCTGCCTAGAATGCTCTTCCTCCAGCTGTGCACAAGGCTGGTGACTTCTTAACGCCCCCCACCCCCGCCACATGACTGCTCAGTTTGCGTCCTCCTCCAGTGTAACAGTACCCAACTGTTTTGAAGAATTATCTATATGTGATCAAAATTGACAACAGCAATTTGAAAGGATAAATGAAAAGATTGGGGGGGCAGTGAGATTGTGTCAGTGATGGTGAAATAGTTTGAAAGAGTTTGTTGAGAAAGGTACGACTTAAAGAATGTTACCAATGCCACTGAATTGTACATGTAGAAATTGTTGAAGTGGTGTATGTTTTGTTGTGTATATTTTCGCCACACACACACACACAAAGATCACCATGTGCAGAGGACCCCACACGTCTGTCAGTTTGTCCTACTCTGGTGGCTTGGGTGTTGCTGTGATGCTGGAAGCTGTGCCACCGGTGTTTCAAATACCAGCAGGGTTACCCATGGTGGACAGATTTTAGCAGAGCTTCTAGACTAAAGCAGACTAAGAAGGACCTGGCGGTCTACTTCTGAAAAACTGACCAGTGAAAACTTTATGAATAGCAGCTGAACACTGTCTCATATAGTGCAAGGAGATGAGCCCTTCACTCAAAATATGACTGGGGAAGAGCTCCCTCCTCAAAGTAGAGTTGACCTTAATGACATGGATGGAGTCAAGCTTTCGGGACCATTTGCTGATGTGGCACAATTCAAAAGGAGAAGAAACAGTTGCAAACATCCATTAATAACAGGAACGCGGAATGTATGAATCTAAGAAAATTGGAAATCATCAAAAATGAAGTGGAATGCGTAAACATCGATATCCTACACGTTAGTGAGCTGAAATGGACTGGTATTGGCCATTTTGAATCTGACAATCATACGGTCTACTATGCCGGGAATGACAAATTGAAGAGGATTGGCGTTGCGTTCATTGTCAAAAGGAAATTTTCAGTAGCTATCCTCAAGTACAACACTGTCAGTGATAGGATAATATCCATATGCCTGCAAAGAAGACCAGTTAATACGACTATTATTCAAATTTACGCACCAACCACTAATGCCAAAGATGAGGAAATTGAAGATTTTTACCAACTTCTGCAGTCTGAAATTGACGAAAGATGCAATCAAGATGCATGGATAATTATTGGTGATTGGAATGCAAAAGCTGGAAACGAAGAAGGAACAGCAGTTGGAAAACATGGCCTTGGTGATAGAAACGATGCCAGAGATAGCATGATAGAATTTTGCAAGACCAATGACTTCTTCACTGCAAATACCTTTTCTCACCAACATAAATGGCAACTATACAGGTGGACCTCACCAGATGGAATACACAGAAATCAAATCGACTATATCTGTGGAAAGAAACAATGAAGAAGTTCAATATCATCAGTCAGAACAAGGCCAGGAGCCAACTGTGGAACAGACCATCAATTGCTCAGATGCAAGTTCAAACTGAAGCTGGAGAAAATTAGAACAAGTCCACAAGAACCAAAGTGCGACCTTGAGTATATTCCATCTGAATTTAGAGATCATTTTCTTGAATAGATTTGACTTATTAAACACTAATGACCGAAGAGCAGTCGAGTTGTGGAATGACATCAAGGACATCACACATGAAGAAAGCAAGAGATCATTAAAAAAAGGGGAAAGAAAGAAAAGACCAAAATGAATGTCAGAAGAGACTCTGAAACTTGCTCTTGAACATTGAGTAGCTAAAGTGAAGGGAAGAAATGACGAAGTAAAAGAGCTGAACGGAAGATTTCAAAAAGTGGCTGGAGAAGACGAAGTATTATAATGAAATGTGCAAAGACCTGAAGTTAGAACACCGAAAGGGAAGAACACGCTCAGCATTTCTCAAGCTGAAAAAACTGAAGAGAAAATTAAAGCCTTGAGTTGCAATACTGAGGGATTCTATGGGGAAAATATTAAAAATTGCTGGAAGCAACAAAAGAACATGAAAGGAATACACAGTCACTGTACTAAAAAGAATTGGTGGACTTTCATCCATTTTGGGAGGTAGCATATGATCAAGAACCAATGGTACTGAAGGAAGAAGTCCAAGTTGGTGAAAAACAAGGTTTCAGGAATTGATGGAATACCAATTGAGATGTTTCAACACATGGATGCAGCACTGGAAGGGCTCACTTCTCTGGGCCAAGAAATTTGGAAGACAGCTACCTGGCCAACCAGCTGGAAGAGATCCATATTTGTGCCCATTCCAAAGAAAAGTGATCCATTAGAATGCAGAAATTATCGAACAATGTCACACACAAGTAAAATTTTGCTGAAGATCATTCAAAAGCAGTTGCAGCAGTACATCGACATTCAAGCCAGATTCAGAAGAGGATGTGGAACGAGGGATATCATTACTGATGTCTGATGGATCTTGGCTGAAAACAAAGAATACCAGAAAGATGTTTCCCTGTGTTTTATTGACTCTGCAAAGGCATTCGAATGTTGGATTATAACAAATTATGGATAACATGGTGAAGAATGGGAATTCCAGAACATTTAATTGTGCTCATGAGGAACCTGTACATAGACCAAGAGGCAGCTATGGGACTAGAACAAGAGGATACTGCGTGGTTTAAAATCAGGAGAGGTGTGAGTCAGGGTTGTATCACCATACTTATTCAATCTGTATGCTGAGCAAATAATCAGAAGCTGGACTATATGAAGAAGAACAGGGCATCAGGATTGGAGGAAGACTCATTAACAACCTGCAATATGCAGGTAACACAGCCTTGCTTGCTGAAAGTGGAGAGGACTTGAAGCGCTTATTGATGTAAATCAAAGACTACAGCCTTCAGTATGGATTACACCTTAACATAAAGAAAACAAAAATACAGCTGGACCAATAAGCAACATCATGATAAATGGAGAAAAGATTGAAGTTATCAAGGATTTCATTTTACTTAGATCCACAATCAATGCCCTTGGAAGCAGCAGTCAGGAAATCAAACAACATATTGCATTGGGCAAATCTGCTGTAAAAGATTTCTTTAAAGTGTTAAAAAGCAAATGTATCACTTTAAGGAGTAAGGTGCGCCTGACCCAAGCCTTGGTGTCTTCAATCGCCTCATATGCATGTGAAAGCTGGACAATGAATAAGGAAGGACGAAGAAGAATTGACGCCTTTCAATTATTGTGTTGGCGAAGATATTGAATATACCATAGACTGCCAGAAGAATGAACAAATCTGTCTTGGAAGAAGTACAACAAGAATGCTCCTTAGAAAAGAGCATGGCAAGGCTTCATCTCACGCACTTCGGACACGTTGTTAGGAGGGACCGGTCCCTGAAGAAGGACATCATGCTTGGTAAAGTAGAGGGTCAGTGAAAAAGAGGAAGACCCTCAATGAGATGGATTGACACTGTGGCTGCTACAATGGGCTGAAATATAACAACAATTGGGAGGATGGCGCAGAACCTACAGTATTTAGTTCAGTTGTACGTAGGGTCACTCTGAGTCAGAACCAACTTGATAGCCCCTAACAACAACAACAACACCCAGAGGAAGATTTATGGACACTAATAAAATTTAAGTTTCAAGGCCCCTCACTTCCATGGGTCCCTTTCAAAGTCCTGAGAGCAGCCCTAGCAAAGTTTTCACATGACCCTACAGTTTTGCAAAATTTGCAAAAGTAGAATGTAGCAAACATGGGTGCCAAGCCCCCTAGGACAGGTATGATAAAAAAGGCAGATAATAAAAAGTGTTGGTGAGGATGTAGAGAAACTAGAACCCTCAAAGATTGCTGGTAGGAATGTAAAATGGTACAGCCACTGTGGAAAACAGTGTCCTCAAAAAGTTAAACACAGAATTCACCATATGACCAAGCAATTCCACTCCTAGGTATATACACAAGAGAATTCAAAACAGATATTCAACAAAAACTTGTACACAAGAAGTCAGCGCAACTGGACTAAAGCAAAGCTAAGAAGTTTCCCAAATACAACCAAACACTTCAAGGGACAGAGTAGCAGGGGCAGGGGTCTGGAGACCATGGTTTCAAGGGATATCTAGGTCAATTGGCATAACAAAGTTTATTAAGAAAATGTTCTGCATCCTACTTTGGTGAGTGGCGTCTGGGGTCTTAACAGCTAGCGAGCGGCCATCTAAGATGCATCAACTGATCCCAACCATCTGGAGTAAAGGAGAATGAATAACACCAAAAACACAAGGAAAGTATTAGCCCAAGAGGTAGAAAGGGCCACATAAACCAGAGACTTCATCAGCCTGAGACCAGAAGAACTAGATGGTGCCCAGCTACCACCAATGACCGCCCTGACAGGCAACACAACAGACGGTCCCTGATGGAGCAGGAGAAAAGTTCATTGCAGAACTCAAATTCTGGTAAAAAGACCAGACTTAATGGTTTGATTGAGACTGGAGGGACACCAGAAAACATGGACCCCGGACTCTCTGTTAGCCTAAAACTAAAACCATTCCTGAGGCCAACTCTTCAGACAAAGATTAGACTGGACTATGGGGCATAAAATGGTACTTGTGAAGAGTGTGCTTCTTAGCTCAAGTAGCTACATGAGACTAAATGCGCAGCTCCTGTCCAGAGGTGAGAAGAGAAGGCAGAGAAGGTGAGGAGCTGGTTGAATGGACACGGGAAATCCGGGGTGGAAAGGAGGAGTGTGGTGTCACAGTTTAGGGAGAGCAACTAGGGTCACATAACAATGTCTGTATAAATTTTTGTATGAAAGACTAACTTGAATTGTAAACTTTCGCTTAAAGTACAAAAAAAAAAATCCTTATGCACAAATGTTCAAAGCAGCATATTCATAATAGCCAAAAAGTGGAAACAACCCAAGTGTCTATCAGCTGATAAACAAATGTGGTATATGGATACATTGGAATATTATTAGTTTTCATAGAGTTGATTCCAACTCATGGTGACCTCGTGTGCAGAGTAGAACTGCTCCATAGGGTTCTCAAGGCTGTGACCTTTTGGAAGCACATTGCCAGGCCTGTCTTCCGGCATTTCTGGGTGGGTTCAAACTGCCAATCTTTTGGCTAGTAGTCAAGTGGTTAGCTGCCACCCAGGCACCCAATGAAATATTATTCAGCCATAAAAATGAATGAAGTTCTGATACATGCTACAACAGATGAACCTTGAAAACACTATGGAAGGTGGAAAAAGCCAGACACAAAAGGCACCTACCGTCTAGTCCATTTATAAGAAATGTCCAGAACAGGCCAATCCATAGACAGAAAGATTCATGGTTGCCTGGGCCTGGAAGGTGAGGGGGTGGGGAGTGACTGTTAATGGGTACAGGGTTTCTTTTTTGGGGTGATGGAAACATTCTAAAATTAGATTGTGGTGATGGTTGCACAATTGTGAATATACTAATAACCACTGAATTGCACACTTTACATGGGTGAATTTCATGGTATGTGAATATATCTCAAGCTGCTAAAAAATACAGGACACTCAGTTAAATCTGAATTTCAGATAAACAGTTCCTGTTTTAGAGTGATACCACCTAAGTTATTATTCAGCTTTAAAACAAAAACAAAAACAAAAAACTGTATAAATGGCGTCACACAGCACAGATTCTTTTGCTGGACATTGGATTTAGGGTTGATGCGTATTGTTGCGAATGGCCCTAGTGTGTCCATTTCATCCCCATGGTTCTATTGCGTGCTTTTGTCCCCATTTATCCGTCGTTCCTCCCATGATGGACACGTGGGCCATTCCTGGTTTCATGCTGTTTTGAACAGTGCTGCCACCAGCATGCTTTTTATCGGTAGCCTGAGGCCTGAGCACGCCCCTCTCAAGTTTATCCCGAGGTGCAGCCTGGAGCCACAAGGACTGCACGTGTTCACCTCCCTAGGAAGGGCGCGCTGTTCTCCGGAACGGTTTCCCTCCCACCGGGAGAGCTTAGTGTTCCTTTCTCCACATCCTCCCATTTTGTTAGATTTTTAATTCTTATTCCATCTGGTCGGGGTATATCATGGCTTTGTCTGCTTTTTTCTGATGACCGTGAGGTTGAGAAACTTCTCATATACATGTGTATACATTTTTAAAAAGTTGCCATTGAGTCAGTTCTGATTCATGGTAGCCCTTTACATACACACATATGCTATTTTGACTAATTCTTTTGTGAAATTCCCTTTCTAGCTTTTTGTACATTTTTCTGTTGGGTTGTCTGATTTTTTTATTGTTGATTTGTAGGCGTTCTTTGTATACTCTGGATATGAGCCGTTTTCAGTTATGTCTTTTAGATATTTCCTCCCACTCTGTGGCTTGCCTTTTTACTCTCTTCATGGCATATTGAGATGAACAGATTTTTTAATTTATAGAAATAATGATATATTAGCATGTGTTAATAAATCTATTAATATTTTCCTTTGTGAATTCTTTTTTTGTGACCTGTTTAATTTTCTTCCCTACTTTCTCATGTTTGTATTTTTAAAAGCACCAGTAGGACCGGATTATCTTTCTGGTTTTAGCGTGCATAATTCCTTTTTCTTAATGTCGGGTGTTCAGGACATTAAGAAAGCCCTGCCTGGCCCTGGAGTGAGCCGCCTGCAGCAGCCGCATAAGGAAAGAGGCTTTGTGCAGCTGGAGGGCTGGGGGGGCAGGTGTGGAAGACAAATTCTAAATCATCCAGGAGAGACTTCTGGAGCGGAGGCTGAAAGTACAGGAAAGAAATCACTACTGAGATAAGCCACCAGAAGACTTTAAGAAGCAAACAGGCCCTGCACAAAAGCGGTCCAAACAGCTAAGGCCCGCATGGAACTCCTGAGCTGCCCCTGCAAGACCCTCGGGCAGTGGCGGTCCAGCACCTATGGCCCCTTTATTGCTGCTCACTCATTGGGTAACAGTGCTAGGTCCCAGCAGGAACCTGGTTTCACAGGAGTCAGAAGACTCCACAACACCGCCCCGCCCCCCCCCAACCCAAGGCCTGTAGCTGTCCAAACCCTCCCTTTCTTCCCTTCATACCTGGCCACTTGCCTGGCCCAGAGAACCATCTCTAACGTTTGCCCCACCCCTCAAATCTTGGTACCCGGTAACTGACAGATTCATGCTGGTTGAGCACCAGGTCGACCCTCAGGGCTTCCATCCCACCAGGTCACCCCTCCACTACAGAAGCTGACCACACCCCAGGTTTACTCCCAGGCCGCGCTCGACTGCCCCAGCTCCGGCCTCCTCTACACGTGGACTGGCCCCGCGCTGGGTTCAGGACACAGCAGCCGACTGCCCTGCCCTCTCCAGGCGCCCCTAAAGACGGAGGAGACATCCAGTTTGCTGGCCGGACTGTACTTTATTCCAGCCCTGGCCTTGGCCAGGTGCATGCTGTCTGCTCCGAGGTCAGCTGTAGCCGTCAGGGTCCGCGTCGTCGGGCACAAAGTAGCGCTGCAGGGCAGGCTGCAAGAGCAGCGGGGGCCGCGGGCGGGCGGGCGCGGGCCAGTCCGGGGGGAAAGGCTGTGGCTCTACCCGCGGCAGCGGAAGCTTCAGCATACGCAGGGGGCCGCCTGGACAGAGCCAGGGCGGCTTCCGGCCTGGGGACGGGCGAGGCAATGAGGCCGAACAGGGTGGCACTCACGCCCAGTGGGTCCAGCGGGGCTGGGGTGGTCCAGGGCCCGCCCTCTACCCCACTGCCCACTCACCCCTCAGGTTCACCCGAGCCGTCTGGACCCTGGACTCCTGAAGCCGGAGTATGGGTTGGTACCTGGGGGATAAGAAGGCGAGTTTGGGCGCGCGGGTTTCCCGCGCCGGTCCCGCCCCTCCCCGCGCCCTCGCGCGCCCGCGCGCACCGGCGATCCGGAGGCTGCCGCACTACGGTGTTGGGCACCGGCGCGCGCGAGCTCGGGCTCTCCGGCTCGGCCTCCTCCGGCAGCGAACTCTGGTGCCGCTCCAGCTGCCGCTCGCAAAAGAAGTTGAGCACGTCGATGTACTCCAGGTCCAGCAGCTGCGAGTGTGACCATTCGGTCTGCTCGAGCGGCAGCGGCAGGCCTTGCAACGCGGCGGGTGCTGAGGAGCGCACGAAGGCCTCGGGCACGGCGCAGAAGGCCTGCAGCGAGTCCGAGAGCGTCCGCCAGGTCCGCCGGGTGCGCAGCTGCGCCGGCTCGGTCTGCCGCTCCTGAGCTGCCAAGTCCAGCCCCGCAGATAAGGTCGTCATCGACAGCGTCTCAGAGACGCGCGAGGGCGCCGAAGAAATACTCGAGTACGTCCAGGAGACGCGCGAAGACGTCCGGAGGCGTGAGGCTGGCCCTGAGACCTGCGAGGCCTGCGACAGGGTCGCTTTGGGGGGGGTCAGTTCCGAAGGCTCCGAGACATTGGGCAGTTCCACCGACAACCTGCCTGCAAACGGCCGCCAGGTTTCCATCTGTGGGAGAGGTAGCCAATAGGGCAAGTGCCCTCGCCTCCTTGAGCCCCCTGCCCGAGCTCTCTGCCCGAGCCACGGCCCAAAGGTGAGGCCAGCCCTCGCCTAACAGGGCGACCCGCATGCTGCTGTCCTGGCCCCAAGCCTGAGACCCCGCTGCAGACGGCGCGGGAGCATCAGGGAGGTCCCGAGAGATGCATGGTGAGGCGGGAGGAACCGGGCGCAGGAGCCTGCTGGTCTCGCCTGGCTCTCCCATCTACACCTCAGAAAAGCTTCAGGCAAGAAGGCAAAAGGCTTGAGCTGCCCGGTGGCACTCCCGCCCCTCCCTCACCGCCAGCCTGACCTGCAGGTTCTGGATCATGTCCTCCAGCTTCTGGCCGCAGCGATTACGCAGCAAGGCCTTGGAGTCGCGTTCTGAGCCCTGGACCCAGGTCATCATCTCCTTGAACAGGAAGCCCTGCGGATCCTGAAGGCCCAGTGCCCTCAACAGCTTCTTGAGCTCCGGCCTGGGGCGAGGGGCGTGCAGCTTAGCCTGAGGCCTCCGGCAGTGGGGAGGGCGAGGCGGGTGGGGTTGCAGGACTCACTGACAATCGGCTGGCGAGTAGAGGAAGTAGGACAAGAGCTCCAGCACCACGTCCCGGGACTCCAGGGAGCAGGCCAGGAGCAGCTGCAGCGCCAGCATCACAAACTGCTTCTGCGTCGGGTCCTGAGCGCAGGCGGAGAGCAGGCTGGTCTGCGCGGGAGGCGCGCTGGGGGAGCGCGGCTGGGGGCTGGGGGGCGGGTCCAGGTTGAGCAAGCCCACGAGGATACTCTGAAGGCGGCTGCGGAGGTCGCTGCTCAGGTCTGGCAGCAGCCTCAGCAGCGCGTTCAGGATGTGCACGCCGTCCCCCCAGGAGGCCTCCTTCAGCGGGTCCACGAGCAGCGAGGCCAGGCCCTCCACCGTGCCCACCTCAGGGTACGCCTGCGGGACCCGTGTACTGAAGCCCGCCCCCACCCCACCCCGCTTCGGGCACGCTCCCCTCGCTGCTCTCCGCCCCTCCCCCGCCTGTGCTTCCCAAACGTCCCAGACCCCGTTTCACCTCCAGGGTGAAGATGGGGAACAGCTTTTTGAACCAGTTCTGGCCGACGAAGTAATGCAGGAACCTGGGCAGATGCGCGTACTGCTCTTCCCAGGGCGAGCGCCCGTGGCGGAACCCAGTGTGTGCGTAGATTTCCTCTGAGGTGCGTGCGTAGCCGGAGCCCTGGGACTCCGAGGCCAAGCTCTAGGAGAGGCGGCCGGCACTGTAGGTTTCGCCTGTCCTGGCTGCGGGCGCAGAGCCCGGCCCGGCCCTCTCGCAGCCGCCTGGGCACGTACCTGAACCTCTGGCTCCAGCACCGAGGGCTCGAGCGGCTCTTCTGAGAGTGGACTCCGCGGGCCCAAGGAGGCCGAGACCCAGTCCAGCGCCGCCTCCTCCTCCTCCTCGTCCTCCTGCTCCTCCATGGGCTTCCCCCGCAGCCAGCCGAGCAGTTTCTGCTGCCACGTGGCTCGGTACTTTCTGCCCCTGGACGCCCACAAGTCGTCCCAGCTCGTTCCGGGCTGCAAACGGAGAGAGTGCGAGGTGGAGCTGGTGAGCTGCGGGGACACAGGCCAGGGCCAGCCTGGCCCCGCTCCTGCGAACCGGCGCCCCCAGCCCTGCCTTGCCTTGGGTCTGTTGCGCTCAGGGGGGCGCTGGGCGAGTGCTCCGAGGCCACCCATGTCTGTCTGCAGCCACAGGCGCTGCAGCACCACCGAGTTGGGCACGAAGCCGGGGAAGAGGACGGGCCCGAGGACCGGCTGCGGGCGGTGCTGGAGGGAGAGCGGCAGAGCGGCAGCGGGCTGAAGAACCAGGAGGCCCGCCGGGGTCGCCCCACCCTCTTCAGAGCTCAGCTCTGCCCTCTAGGTCTCCAAGAGCAGAAGGGCTGTCCCTGCCCTCCCAACACACCAGCAAAGAGACCCTTCAGAGGCTAGCAGGGAGGGCCGCAGGGAGGCGTCAGGGAGGGAGACCTGGGAACTGCTGGCCCTGGGGAGCCCTAGCACCCTGTATGCTCTCCATGGGACTCTGGCTCCAGCCCTGGAGAGATGTCTAAAGCCCATGGGGGGGGGGGATAGGTGGGAAGGGGCGGGGAGAGGGGGCAGGGGAAGACTTGGGCAGAAGGTGCAACAGCTGGAGGACCAGTGACCCACCTGGGCAGGTGATAGGGAGGGGCCGAGGCCTGCCCGGGCACCTGATGTGGGTCAGGGTGGGAAGGCAGAAGAATGCAAGGGGCCAGCTCCCCTTGGCTTTGCTCCTCGGAAAGGCAGGGACTCTGGTCTCCCAGGGTCAACTACAGAGGCCACAGGTGGACCCACACCTGACTCTCCCAGGGAGGGGTGGTATGCAGGCACAGCCCACTGTCAGAGCCTCTAGGAGGCCCCATCACCCAGCCCAGGCTCAGGCCTGGGAGGCAGCCTGCCCCCAGAGCAGCAGGGAGTCTGCCGGAAGGGCAACCGCACCAGACCTGGCTGGCAGGGTGAGGGGGCTTGGACCTTGGACCTCCAGGTTGCAGGTGGGTGTGGCTTGCTGGCCGGTCAGATTTAGACATAAAGATTTACAGCAAAGGGAAATTGGGATGAGCAAGAAGGGTGTCCTGCCCCCCCCCAGCAGGGTGCCTCTAGGGAGAACTAGGTGGGGCTCTCACCTGGTTTAGGGGCTCAACAGTGGCAGGAAAGAAGCCCTTGAGGTTAGAGAGAAGCTCCTTGGGGCGCCTCTTCAGCACGATCTGGGGGTGGGATGGGGTCTCAGAGCTGAGCAAAGACTGCAGCATCCCTGCAGCTCTGCCCTGGGCAGGGGCCACCTGCCTGCCTGGAATCCTCACCCTTTTCGGCTTGTGGGAGGATGATGGCTCCAGGGACACTTGTGCCCCTGCCCGGAGGTGCTCTGACTGCAGCTGCAGGTCCAGGCTGAGGCCCAGGTTGCAGCTGAGTGAGGACTGGGCCAGCAGCTGGGGGTGGGAGGAGGAAACACGGGTGGGGTGGCGGTTACCAGGGCAGTGCAGGGGGGCGGAGGCTGGGAGGCCTCACCTGCGATGCCCTGCTGTGCACCTTCCGGGAGACAGGTGGGATGGGCAAGGTGACCCGGGGAGGGCGGGCCAATCGTTGGCACAGGGTCCCCAGGTCCTCTGGGGGCTGGACTGCTGGCACCGTCCGCCCTTCTGTGCAGACCCCACCCCACTGAAGGCTGTGGGCAGCTGTGGGCAGGGTGCTGGTGTCCCACGTCTCTCTCTCCATGGAGAGGGCCATGGCGCTCCACTGCTGGGATGCCCTTCCAGACTGCACCCCCTAGGAGGGAGAGAGCAGGTCGGGGCCTCAGAGGCCCCAGTGCAGAGGGAGGGGCCAGGTCAGGGGGGGACCTGGGGACGCCCCACACCCACCACCAGGCCAGGCCCGTAGATCAGACGCAGGTAGTTGTCAAAGGCTTCCTGGCGCTGCTGCAAGGAGGGTGGGGGTCGGGCTGCAGGAGCCACCAGCCCCAGCCTCAGCCTCCGAAGGTCTCGGTCCCGGGCAGCTAGGGCTTCGAAGTCCTGGAGGGGAGCAGCGGTCAGCCTCTGTTTGCTGGAACTTTGTCCTCTGCTAGCCAGACGATCACAGGGATCTCAGGCCTGACCTGGGGACTGAGAGGGTGTGGCCCGAGCCTGGACGAGGGAGAGCTGGGGTACTGGGGTGGTGAGGGAATGGGGTGGGAGTGATGAAGGGCAAGGAGGTGGTGGCAGGGATAGGGAGGGGCCGGGGTGGTAGGGACCCACCTCACCTCCTTCAACACTGGCTGCTGAGGCGTTGCCCTCTGCTGATGGACGAAAGACAAGGCCGGACTGCAGACGGAGATGTGCACAGGTGGGCGATGGGCAGCCTTACCAGTGGGACGAGCAGGGGCCTGGGCAGGGACCCTGGGATCGCCAGGCCCCAGATGGGATGCAATAATCAGCAGCGGGGATGCCAGGGCTGGGACAGGCTGCGGTGACCCCCGAGGCTCCAGGAACCCTGGGGCCTCATGCTAGGGGCTGGGCAGGGGCCTCCAGCATGTCTTTGAAGGCCTGCAGCGGACCTGAGGCTGGCTACCTTGTGCAGGTTGGCAAGCCTCTGCAGCTGGGCCGAGGTCAGCGACTCCTGGCTGGTCAGTGGCAGTGGAGGGTCATCCACCACTTCAGGGGCCTTCCGGAACAGCTTCTGAGCAAGGGAGAGGAGACTGGAGCCCTAGCTTAGGGGCCTATGTCCTCCCCCAGCGGCCTCACCCTGTCCTCACTGCACACCTTAACCAGGTAGGAAGTGGGCAGGTAGAGCCTGTGGGGCACCAGGCAGAGGCGGGAGCCCAGTGCCAGCACCAGGTCTCCACTGTTGCTGCAGAAGGTCAGGGCCTGGGGGGCGCCGTTCAGCTGCAGAAGCCTGCAGGGTGCCCAGGGCCACAGTCCAGCCCCTGCTCCACAGGGTGGAACCTGAGGCAGGAGCAGGGGCAAGGCCCTCTCCCCTCAGCCCGACTACTGGGATGTGGCCACGGCAGGAGTAGGAGAGGCCACCAGACACCCTCTGCCCCACCTCCCTCGGCAAGCCCCGCCCCCATCCCCGCCCCCTTGGGCCCCGCCCACCGCAGCAGGCGGTTCTCAGCTGTCCAGATGCGGATGGTGCAGTCCAGGCTGGAGGACGCGTAGAGCTTGAGTGTGGGACAGCAGCATAGGCCTGGGTGGGGGTGGCGTCGGGGTCAGGAATTGGAGCGGTACCGGGGCCTGGGCTTCAGCTTCACCCTTGCCCTCACCAGTGATGTGGTCCGTGGGATCGTCCTGGGGCCGGTGGTCACAGCGCGAGTGGTCGTCTAGGTTTAACTGCACAAGGCCATAGGTGGCGGTGGCCGGGGCCTCGAAGCCCACCGTGACCCGCTTGCCAAGCACGCAGAGGGCCACTACCGGGTGGCAGCAGGAGATGGTGCGCAGCAGGCTCAGGCTCTCCTCCGCGTAGGGGAAGACGCGCCACATCTTCACCGTCAGGTCTCCGCCTGTGGGCGGCGGGAGCGGGGCTAGGCCTTGGAGGAGGAAGGGGGCCTCCCCGGGCAGGTGACTAGGCGGGGCTGAGGAGGAACTAACCCGAAGACACGACGCTGTTCCAGGTGGACGCAATGGCGGTGACAGGGCCCGGGCTATGGGCCTCCATATGGAAGACAGTCCGTGACGAGCGCCATTCGAGCACCGACAGCGCACCGTCCGTGTGCCCCACCACGGGCAGGTACCTGCGGGCGGCGGCGGAGCGCGTTGGCCCAGGCCCAGACCCCTGCCCGCCCGCCCGGCCCTTGCCAGCTCCGGCGCCCACCGGTTCTTGTCCTTCAGGGCCCAAGCCGTGTCGCTGCGGTGCAGCTCGCCCCCGTGCTCGCGCACGACCTCCCAGGATTCGCGCGCACTCCCGGGGTCAGTGAGGTGGCTATAGAGGTGTAGGCAGCAGGGCCGCGGCGCGGGGGCCGGCGGCGGGCGCACGCGATGAAGGACTCTCATGGGGCAGCGTGCCGCGTTGGCTCGCACTAGGTGCCCGGCTCGCGTCAGCAGCCACAGCGCTTCGCGCGGCAGGCAGTAGGCCACAGCGGCAGCGCAGTCTTCCGGCCCGAGCAGCAGCGCGCTCACCGTGCGCCCAGTGATGGCCGACACCAGGCAGACCGAGCCGTCGGCACACGCACACACGAGGCGTGCGGGTAGCGGCGGGTGCGGATGTGCGGACAGAGCCGGCGCCACCTGCAGGTGGAGCACCGGCGCGGGCAGCTGCGCCAGCTGCGAGTAGAGCTCGCGCACGCGCCACAGCTCAACGCCGCCCGCGCTCAGCGACAACACTGGCCAGCCGGGGCTCGCAGGCGCTAGCAGGCTGCTCACACGCCCCAACGGCACGTCACGGCCCCAACTGCACAGCGCCACCTCGCCCACCTGCGCCACCGCCTGCAGGTCCCACGTGCGCAGGGTCCCGTCCTGTGAGGCCGACAGTACCAGGGCCGTGTTCGGGAGAACCGCCAGAGCCGTCACCGGACCTGCAGGAGACCGCGGATCACCCGGGCTCGCCGGGGACTCAAGGAGGGCGGTCAGCCCGGCTGGCGCCCAGCGACGGGAAATGCAGCCAGAAGTGTTGGCGAGCCTGGGCAGCCGAGGTCTATTCAAGGCAGAGGCCGCGCCCGGGCGGGGAGAGAGCTGCCTCAAGAGCCAGCGCGGCGCACCTGTGTGGCCCACGAACACGGTCCGGATCTGCCAGTCGGCCTCCCACACCTTCACCGTGCTGTCCCGGGAAGCCGTCACCATGGCCTTCACCTCTTCGCAGTACGCCAGATCCGAGATGGTGCTGTGGGTGGCGGATGCCAGGCGAACTCAGCGCTGCGGCTTCAGCTCGGCCCCACGCCTAGGGTGAGCGCCTGGGCCCTGCCTACACCGGCTCACCCCCACCGCTGGGCCATCGGCGCATGCTTTGCGTCCCCGGCCCGGTGCCCCCTCACGTTTTGTGCAGGTCCCGGCGCACGTCTACAAGAGCCCAGCTGCGCAGATCGAGGGTGAGCACCGCGGAGCCATAGGCCGCGCAGCAGCGTGGGAGGCAGTAGGACCGCGCGCCCCCTAGGGCCAGACGCGTGAGCGCGCCCGCGACGCTCCGCGGCGGCTGCAGGAGAGGCCCGCGCGGCACCAGGCGGCGACCACCTGAGCGGAACTTCCAGAGCTCCAGGCCGCCGCCTGCCTGGGCCACAACCAGCAGCCCCGAGTCAGGCACTGGCAGGCAGCAGGTGGGCTCAAGGCTTCCCGCCCTGCCCACCTCGGGCTTGCTCTGCCACAGCAGGCTGAGGTCGGGCCCTAGAATAGCCAGCCCCGAGGGGCCCCAGCCCACAAAGCGGCCTACATGGCCCAGCTGGCCTGGCATAGCCACCAGGCCCGTGATCTCCGCGGGGGCCCGCAGCTTCTCACGTGCCCAGCCGTCCTCTCTGTGCAGGTGCAGGCTGCCCGCGCCGTCCAGGACCACCAGGCGTCCACCCAGCGGGTCCTGTGCCACCGAGCGCACCCCGGCTGCCATGTCCAGGCGGCGCAGGGGCTCCAGCCCGTGTGTCAAGCACTCCACGCACAGCTCGGCTTTCTTCTCCTGTGGGCCGAGGGTCAATGGGGGGACCCAGTGCTTGAGGGGGTCAAGGAGGGAACAGAGAGCGCTCCTGCCTGGGAGAGCCCAAGAGAAGCCGACGGGGGCAAGCACGGTAGTGCTGGGGACACCTAGGAGAAGGACGGAGCCAGAAAGAAGGCTTTGTGGCCACACCTTTTCCACTATGTCGTGGAGACCAGTGCGCAGGAGTAGCCACAGCTGGCGGGCGCGGGCGCGTGGGGTCATGTTGAGCCACACTGCGCTAGTGGTAAAATTCCACAGGAACTGCACCGTCTCTGATAACTGTGACTCTGCGTGTGGACAGCAAAGCACCGTCACGGCATGGTCTTGTGTCCCCAACCCTGGAGGTCGTGAGCAGCCTGGAAAACAGCTCCAAGGGCCCTGCTGGGTCAGGGGGCTTCCCGGGGGCCGGGGCCTCCTCAGGGACGGAGGCGAGCCTGAGGTCAGCTCTGGGAGCAGGGCACCCGTGGGGCCAGGCCAGCCAGCCCTCACCATTCCTTTCCTTGAGTAGTCCTGGGTCAGGGGCGTCACTGACGTCTGTGTCATACAGGTCCACGTCTAGGGTCAGCTTGTCGCCCTCCGCCGGAAAGGGACCGCCTGTGCCGAACACTCTCGACTCCATTTCGGAGGCTGAGGTTCCAGGCCACCCAACAGCTCCGGGAGGACCTAGCGGTCATGTCAGCACCGGCCGTTGCTAGGATACCAGACGCCGCAGGCCCCGCCCCCAACGCAGACTCCACCCCCTCCCCACGCCGCCCCGCCCCCGGGTCCGCACTGTCACAGAAACTTTTATTGAAAACAAACAAGCTGCAGCGAAGTGACACTCAGTGCACGTGGCCTGACAGGCGAAGTGGGGGATACAGGCGGACGCCAGGTCTGGCCGGCCCAAGCCCTGAGCCGGTGACCTCAGACCTGTTGCTGGTCTGGGCGGTGGGCTCTTGGGGCTGGAGTGTCAAGGCCCAGGCCTTGCCCCATACAAAATAGAAAAATAAACTCTGTGGTCCAGCTGTCCCTGCCTCGCGGCAGTTCGTTTGGGCAGGGCAGTCGCTCTTCCCAGCAGGCCCCATGCTGTCCAGTCCAGCCGCAGTGTGGGCAGCAGGAGCCTGTGGGGGTGAGTGGACATTCACAGGCTGGAGCCAAAGGGCTAGTGGGCTGGCCTTGGCAGTGCCAGGGCTGTGGCCAGCAGCTGAGGGAGGCACTCGGGCCCCTCAGGCAGTAGGTCCAGGCGTCAGTTGAAGCCGGATGAAGCTGGGGTCTCTGCTCTTCGTAGTCACATACAGATCACCTGGACCCTGGACAGAGGTGGGCACACAGAGAGCTTTTAGAAGACACATCCTGGAGACCAGGCAGAAGGGCCCCCTCCCTGCCCCACCCACCCCAGGCTCCAGGGACCCTGCCACGGCCACCATTACACACCTGTCCTCCTCAATGGTGCTGGTCTCCTCGGCTCCACCCTCACTGCCTCTGCCCTCTTCGATCTCCTCCTCTTCCTCTCCCAGCTCCATGTCCAGCTCATTGCCCGCCTCTGAGCGGGTGTAGGTGGAGCCACTGGGGGGAGGTGGGAGGACCAATCTCAGGACCACCTACCCCAGGCCTATCGTTGGCCCCCAAGGCCCAGAACAAAGTCACGAGCAGGGTGGGGAGTGCTGGGGAACTGGTTTGTGGCCCCCATGGGGAGCTGGTGAAGGGAAGGGAACACTGCCAACCTGATGGAGCGGCAACTAAAGAAGACAATCCGTTTCAGCCGCTTGTTGTAGAAGAAGTAGTTGAAGGACCAGAGGCTGCCGTCCTCCCCGAAGGGGTCTGAGTCCAAGTCCGGGTTGTAGCTGGGGAGTGTGGGCGAGAAGTGGCATGAGGCCCCGGCTGCCACACTGGCCTGAGGTACCCCTGCAGGGACACCAGCCCACCTGTAGATGTCACATTCTGCCAGGCAAATCTCTTCATCCACTGCGTTCCACAGCTGTGGCTTCAGGGCCTTGAAATCCTCCCGTACAGCTGAGAAGAGGCTGCAGTTGACAGCGTTCACCACCTAGGACGGGTCACTGTCAGGCGGGCAGGG